AAAAAAAAAAAACTAAAACCAGAACTACCAAGCTCTCACATTGGAGAATACAATACTCCACTAATGAGGACTGGTCAAAATAAATGAAAATAAAAACAAGAACAAACCAAAAAGAAACACTAGAAAAGAAACACTAATAAGAGAAAGAATAGTAAGTAAAATAAAAATCTTCCCTCCTCAAACTAACTTTTCGGCACCATTGTAACCACTGGCCTGCCAATAGTTGTACAGTCCAATACTTTTTGAAGTCACCCATCCTAAAGACGAAACAAGCTCACAGGTCCAAAACTCTCAAACCTGGAAACTTCAGTTCACTCGAACTGCTGGTCAGATTGGATGAAGAGTCAGGACTTGAGCCCAAATCTTATCCGAAAGAGTAAATCAAAGGATAGAAAGATATTACATCTCAAAGGAACACTTGCCTCAACCAGCTGTGCATAGTTTTAAATGGCGAATGGCGAGGCGAGGCGAGGCGATTCGCCATGGCGAGGCCTCGGCAACACAAGCCATCAAAGCTTAAAAAACCTTAAATATCCTCAAAGAAAATAATATAAATTAAATTTGGTTGTAATTACTAAAAGCATCTCAAACTTAAATGTGAATACTAGTAACATTACAAAAAAAATATTGAATTTACACTGTGTAGTAACATAAAATAGAAAAATGTTAAAGAGGGTAAATAAAAAGTGTAAAGTAAAAATAAATGAAATAAAGACGTTGCACCCTTTCACCTTTGACTAACGACCATACTAGTAAACATAAATAAAAGTAAAAAATGAAGAAAGAAGAAAAAGAGAGAAGGTAGAACAGGAAAACAGCGAAAGGGAGAAGGAAAAGAAAGGAAAAAAAAAATCACCGACCATCTTGGCAGTGAGATGGTGGCCGGAGTTCAGAGGAGGCCGGAAATGGATGGTTCAGCCGTGGGTTTGTATAATTTTCAAACATGAGAAGCCTAAGGTGTGCTTTCACAGAAACCCTAGTTTGGGGAGAAGCCATTTAGGGATTTTTCACCTTCAGCTTTCGTATTCTCAGTCTAAAACTGTAGTTTTCAGTTCGTGGTTCTGGGAGATGAAGTGAAGAAAGAGCCTTTTAATTTTGTTCTCTTTTTTTTTAAAAAAAAAAATGTACTGCACCTTTAATTTTTCTGAAAGGTGCTGAGGCGCGCCTCAGAGGCGCCTTTCGCCACGTGAAAAGGCGAGCCGAGGCGATCTGAAGCGAGCGCCTCGCGAACAGGTTCGCCTCAGGCAGTGGCGAGGCGATGTAGCCCTCGCCTCGGTCGCCTCGCCTCGAGGCGTCGCCATTTTAAACTATGCAGCTGTGGGAGAGTACCCCCAGTGATGACTCAGCAAGTGGTCAGATGGGCTGGCAGCACACCGGAGAAGAACAGAAGGGGTGATGGGGTTGCTTCTATTTTTTGGTTCTAGGGAGTGTAGAGAGAGTGCAAGGAAAAGGAAGGATTATTCTGTTCTCTCTCGAGTCATTATTCATTAATCAATTGTATCTCATAGTACATATGTAGAAACCGTAGTATAGTCCAAGAAATCAAGGTGTTTACCTTTAAGACACGTTTTTCTGTCACTCTATCACTTTGAAGAAGATTGAACATTTGTTTCAAGTTTCAACATGGCTGATTTGAGACTCTGCTGTTTGTTTAAGGTGAAAGAGGTAGGGGCATTGACTTTTGTAGTTTTGAGTTAGTTTGGTTTTCTTGTAAGTTTGTGTACTTATCCGTAAGCACTGAAGAATTAAGATTTTTGGTTGAGATGCATTTTAGCTCTTGTAACTTAAAAGCTCTTTGGTTGCATGGTACAGGTATGAGCAAAGTTTATCTGTGCTTAAACACGCAAAGTTGAGCAAGGAAGGCATGATAACAAAATCATCAATCATGCTGGGTCTTGGTGAAACTGATGATGAAGTGAAGGAAACCATGGCAGATTTAAGGGCCATTGGGGTTGACATTTTGACCCTGGGGCAGTATTTACAGGTGCGAGCATGAATATAAATGAACTTCAAAGAAATCTAAAATATTTCTTTCTATCTTTTTCTTTCATCAACTTATCATGGTTGTCATCATGAGTTCGCTTCGCATTTGTGGTTCTTACCGTCTTTGATTATGCTTGTTTTCTTTAATTCTTTTATGCATTATGACTTTTTTTTTAGTAATCTGTGAAGCCAATACTAATGTCATATTGCTACCATTGGTAAAATGCAGCCGACTCCTTTGCATCTAACTGTCAAGGACTACGTTAGCCCTGAAAAATTTGCTTTCTGGAAAGATTATGGCGAGTCAATTGGCTTCCGATATGTTGCCAGTGGACCTTTGGTAATCTTCTAATCCTATTTTGCTACATGCCTTTGACTGCACAGACCTAAATCTTTGTTTAGTTGATGTAATTCCGTAATATCATTATGACTATCCTTGTCATTAAAACTAAATTTTGTGATGTTTTATTTTCTTATCTTCTATTGTCTCTTAAAGGTTCGATCTTCGTATAGAGCTGGAGAGCTGTTTGTCAAGACCATGGTGAAACAAGAGAGGGCTAAGAATACACGAGACATTACTATGTGAATTTGGGCCACGCTTGCGCAAAATTTTTTGGAAGTCATTCGAACTTGATGCTTAGTCAAAGGAATGTCGGAGGCCCTGAGGCCGCCTCTTTTTACTTTTTTTTTTCCCATTCTTTTTCTTTTTCTGTTTAACTTTATTTCAAGTTGAGATATCCTTCAACATTGTATAATTCTTTGCATTTTTGTTCGGGCTTTGTAGTGCAGTTATGCATGGAAAACCGTCTAGGATGCATGTTTATTGTTCGAATTATGCTGGGTTCATCCGCATTCCATATAATGTTGATCACATTGTATGTTGAAATGTTCAGTTGTAGCATCATGCATATAAAATTTAAATTAATTCACTACTTAAATATTAAATAATTATTTGTTGTTTGATCCCCCTAATATGCTTGTTGCTTTGATTATCATTTAGCAACCATCATGTGTAATAAGGCTAATGTCTGCAAGTTTCCTTCAGTGGAATTTTCTCTCTAGAGATCCGTTCTTGTGAGTTCGGGGTTTTATGGTTTTTTGGTCTCCTTTTTCTTCGTCCGTCTCCGTGTCAGTTTCTCAGATTTTCTGGTTTCCTCGATTGTTGTCATGAATTCGAGGGCTTGCCCTTTTTCTTTCATCTTCTTCCCGCTGTTTTCTCTTCCTCTTTGTGTAGTTTGGTTTCTTAGTTCTTCTGTTGTAGTGGTGGTCGTTCCCTTAGGTCTTTGGGGCTCTTTCCTTGTTAGTTTTTAATTAGGGTTGGGCATGGAGAAAGAGTCAACTGAAAAGATGCAAAAATTTGTCTTGTGGGAAACTAAGAAGTGGGGGTTGAATTAGATGAATTAGACATAGCCCCCTACTCTCCAGGAATCTATTACTATTACTATATACTAGTACAACACTCGTGTATTACACGGGTGCTTGCTAATTTTTTTTCTTAAAATCTAAAATTAATGAGAAAAAAGTAGTTGAAATTTTAAATACCTTTTACAAAAATATATATATATTACTTTATATTTAGTATGACACTTTTTATTTGTACGACTTACCTGTGTCATTTAATAATAATTTTTTAACTTACAACATATAACTACATTAAAAATAAATATATCAATTAATAAATAATTTTATTTTCTAATAAATTTTAATAAATATTAGTATTCTTTATTATTATAAAGATAAATATAATTTATTTATTTCATATATTCAATATGGATGTCAAATCGAAGATCATCAAAAGATGATTAATTTGATATATATCTATCATTTAATAATAATTTTTTTAACTTACAACATATAACTACATTAAAAATAAATATATCAATTGATAAATAATTTTATTTTTCTAATAAATTTTAATAAATATTATTATTCTTTATTATTATAAAGATAAATATAATTTATTTATTTCATATATACAATATGGATGTCAAATCGAAGATCATCAAAAGATGATTAATATGATATATAATATATGTAAAACCGATAAGAAATACAAAAGTTATCAACTTTTAAAATACATTTACAATTTAATAGCTAATTGAATGCAACAAATCAAAGTCAGGAATATATTAGTCTCACTATGTAAAATGACAAATAATTAAAGGGTTATATTAGTACAAGTGATATTAAAATACCTAAGTTAGATAATAATATTTATGGAATGTCCGAACCTAGATTATTAATTATTAATATATCAATATTATTTGTCCAAACCTAATTACGAAGCATGATTTTTCACCAAGTAAGATTACGAAGCACCAGAAGCAGCCACGTAGGCTCAGCGCATTCGAGAATTATATATAGGGAGGATGATAGAGTGAGGTTGACTTGGAATCTATTACTATATATAATAGAGAGAGATTGACTTGAAATAGTATTAAAATCGTTGCTTAAAATTTTCGAAGTTATTACTCTTAATATTTATTTACTTTTTTTTTGTTTTTTTGGAAAATGGCGATTGAATGAAAACTTAAATTCGTTATTTGAGAATTGTGTAAACCTTAATTCCTAAAAATATGGATAATGATTTCTTTAAATGCTACGGGTCAATCTGACCAATAATGAAAAAGAATCTTGAAACTCCTGCTTCCAAAAAATCCGATCAATAATTTCCTTAATTTTTTTTCTATCAAACGTGTAAATTTGGTTACAAAAATCCGGTCAATCATTAGATGAATAAAACGTTTGAATTTTTTTAAAATCTTCCTGAAATGTTAAATATTTTTTTTATCCATATTTATTATCTACGAATCTCATATTTTACGGTCACAACTAAAATATATATATAGAGAGAGAGAAGGAATCATATGAGAAAGAGAGATAGTGAAAGAAATAAGAATGATTATGCACCATTGGATTTACCAAACCAATGGTCATGATCAAGTCAAACTTAAATAAAAAATGATCAAAAATGAGTGACAGTATGGTAAATATATGTATATATATATATATATATCTCTTTTATATATATACAAACGAGTTTGGACAGTTATGGTTGCGACACGTGTCCTTTTTGCACCCCTCCGTTGGTCGACACGTGGCATTTGCTATTTTTTCCTTTTTTTTTCCTTCGTTCACCATAAACGGCACCATTTTGTGCCTTCAGATGCATTTTCATTCACACTTTCTTCTACTGGTATGTGATTTTACTAAAAAGCCCTGCTGCATTCACCTTTTAGAGGGGTGCAGGCGTAATTTCTCTTTGTTGTCTACCTCAGCGGGATTTCCTCGCACAAAATCTGGCAGACGTGCGTATATGTGCTGCCACACGCCACATACCCGCGTTCTTCTTCCTGGGCCGTCCGAAAGGCCGAAAATTCTGGAGTGCCGCACGATTCCGCCGCCCTACCTTGCCGATTGATTTTGTGACATCTCTTAAGGATTAAAAGTGACCCTATCTATAATAATCGTTTTATTTCATTTTCTCAAACCTCCTCCTTGGAAGCAGAGAGCTCATCCGCTGCGCCGCCGGCATATCTAACCCACACCTCCCATTGCCTCTTTCGATTACGTCTCTACCCGTCCAATAGTGGTGTTCGAGATGAAGTTGCCAACAAACGGCGGCGCAGCCCGTTGTCTCCACCTCTGGTATTAATGGCAGTTGTGGGTTGAAGCCTGAAGGTAATTTGGTCAGGCATAGGGATGAGAACTCCTGCCAAGGTCCTGGAACTCCAAAAATAGTTGATCTGCGTTTTGATTTCTGAGTTCGACTATAAAATCAGGGCTCTGAATTGTTGTTCGGTCGAGTTTTTTTTAGAGGCTGAAACTATGGAAAACTTTGGAGGTTTGGTTCTAATTGTTTGTTAAAAGTGAACTGATGATTTGGGTGCAGTGATTGTTTCGTTTATGGAAAATTTGATGTGTTGTTTTCTATTGGGATTTTTTGTTTTGGCTTCTTTGTAGGATCTTGTTGAAATGAAGGCAGTGTGTCGGTTGGGAAAGGCGGGTCACCGCCCACAATTCCAACGCTGGCTTTGTACTCCGGCAAGACCTCCGACTCTTTGCTCTGCCAGTGCACAAAGAGGTACCGCATATATATTTTTTTTTAAATATATCTATTCAAGGATAGAAAAATTTCAATTTAGGGCAACTATTGTTATTGAGTTAGGTCTAACCTCTATTTTTGTCTCAAAATTTCTTTACGTCGGGAGCTTCATTTTCTTCTTAACAAAGGCCAACTCTTTATAGTACAAAAGAAGAGAACTCAAGACTTCGATCTACCAACTTTTGGCTCAGGTGGCTGATTCTTCACAAGTGCATTTATTTTTTTTTAGGATTTTCATTTCTTTCATTTGTTATGTTCAAATCTGATTATGGATTATAAGTCGACAATCTAGAATTGAAGTGCACATTTAACTGTTGAAGTGCTCTCCTTCTTCAGCTTCTGAGCATATTTGTGTGTGTGAGTTGATAAGCGCACTCTTTGGTTTCCTGATCCTTGCCATTAACCTTTTTTTTTTCCAGATTTTTGCAATGCTCGGGCCTCGGAACATCTTTGGGGCTTCTCCCAGATATAGGTGGTTCATATATTTTCTCAAGGCTTTGAGGGTATTTTGGCTACTCTTGACGTTGTGCAGGACCTTTTCTGTTCGTTTCCTATATTATTTAGTTTTGTTGAGTTGCCGTCGTGTCTAATTAGTGAAATGGATTATGTTAATTTGAGGTTTATGATGAAAATTTGTAGGTCTGTGTCGTCTCATGCCAACGATCTATTGAGGAAGAGTTTTCGGTCCGTAATGGCTACGATGCTTATTCCTTTGTTCATTTTTTTATTCAATTCAAAATTAGTAATGATTAAAATTATTTTGTACTTGCTTAACTTCTCAGTAGAGAGTAAGAGTATGAAGTATATTAAGAGAAAAACTAGCCCTTCAAGTTTTTCGCTTCCCATTCGAGGAGTGAGCCTACATCACTACCGTGGATTTCAGGTATTCAGTGTGATGAGTTGATTTTCGTATTTTGCTGATTGATTGTCTTCTCTTGGCTTCTTTGGTCGAGATTTGTGCTTAATTTTGGAATTTGCTTATGTTTCATGCTCAGGATCAAAGATAGAATTTGTTTTCTATATGTGTTATCGTAGCTATGCTGATTGAATGTCTTCTTTAGCTCCCTTGGTTTAGATTTGTCCTTAATTTGGACTAAGTTTATGTTTCACGCTCTTGATTAAAGCTATAAATTGGTTACTGTTTGTTCTCCCAGTGGGTTTTCTTTGTTTCCCTTAGCTTTTGAAACATTGTACTGGGGTGGATCTTTACAGTAGTCTGATTATGTGAGATACATTTGCGTTTGTTGGTATTGAATGCTGCAAATGAGTAGAATTCGGAGTGTAAATTATTACCTATGCAGATCGTTCATTGATTATGAGTTCACATTTGCAATATATCATTGCCCCGTTTTCAATGTTGACGCGATTAAGACATTTGGTGTTTCTGCTATATATAGTTGGAGGCCCTTGCTCATGCAGTTGTAGATATACCGTGTGTTTGAACTTCTGTAATGTTTATAGTGGTTCGTTTGATTTGTTAT